TGAGACCCCAAATGGATCCCAGAGAGTCCCAGATAATCCCAGTGAATCCCAGTGAATCCCAGTGAGACCCCAAATGGATCCCAAAGAGACCCCAAATGGATCCCAGTGAGATCCTGACAGATCCCAGTGAATCCCAGTGAGACCCCAAATGGATCCCAGTGGGACCCCAATGGATTTCAGAGTGACCTCAATGGATCCAGCACAATTCCAGGGTGACCCCAATGATTCCAGGCTGACTCCAGTGATTCCAGGGTGATCTCAATGACTCCCAGCAGGACCCCACTGATTCCAGGCTGACCCAAATGATTCCCAGCAGGACCCCACTGACTCCCAGCGTGACCCCAATGATTCCCAGCAGGACCCCAATGATTCCCAGCGTGACCCCACTGATTCCAGGGTGACTCCAGTGATTCCCAGAGTGACCCCAATGATTCCCAGCGTGACCCCACTGATTCCAGGGTGACCCCAATGATTCCCAGCAGGACTCCAATGATTTCCAGCAGGACTCCAATGATTCCCAGCAGGACCCCAATGGATCCAGGCTGACCCCACTGATTCCAGGATGACCCCACTGATTCCCAGCAGGACCCCACTGATTCCCAGCGTGACCCCACTGATTCCAGCGTGACCCCACTGATTCCAGGGTGACCCCAATGATTCCAGCGTGACCCCACTGATTCCAGGGTGATCCCACTGATTCCAGGGTGATCCCACTGATTCCAGGGTGACCCCACTGATTCCAGGGTGATCCCACTGATTCCAGCATGACCCCAATGATTCCAGCGTGACCCCACTGATTCCAGGGTGATCCCACTGATTCCAGCATGACCCCACTGATTCCCAGTGCGACCCCAATGATTCCAGGCTGATCCCACTGACTCCCAGCGTGACCCCAATGACTCCCAGCAGGACCCCAATGATTCCCAGCAGGACCCCAATGATTCCAGCGTGACCCCAATGATTCCAGAGTGACCCCAATGATTCCCAGCGTGACCCCAATGATTCCCAGCAGGACCCCAATGATTCCCAGCGTGACCCCAATGATTCCAGGGTGACCCCAATGATTTCCAGCAGGACCCCAATGATTCCAGGGTGACCCCAATGATTCTCAGCATGACTCCAGTGACTCCCAGCATGACCCCATCCCACCCCA